ACTCCCAGAATTCCCCAGCCAGCTGGCTGGGGAATTCTGGGAGCTGAAGTCCACCCATCTTCAAGTTGCCAAGGTTGAGAGACACCGCCCTACAGCAATAAGAGCATTCCTCAACCTTCTGCTGCTCCAGTTTCTTGGTCTTGCCTACCTCAAAGAGTTGACCACCCAGTTGAGAATGATTGGCCCATCATCCACTGAGCTTCCCTAGCCAAAGATAGACTCGAACCTGGGTCTCACCAGCAGATAGTCCAGCATCTGAACCATTACACCCCACTGTCTGTTGACTGATGATTGAATCAACCCATTTTCTGGGTTCGAACACCCCACTGAGCCATCAGCTAACTGAATGGTCTGGGGTCAGGGAACCAACTAAATCACTCAGAGCCTAGCCAGGATTGCCATGTTGTGCAAACGCAGCCCCCAGGCTTGTAACTGAGTCAGTGCCGACCTTCCCTGCAGCCAAGCATTCTCCAGTAGCCCTCGTGGGAAGAGGCAATAGGGGTCGGCTCCTCAGAGAGAGTGGCCCAGGGGGGCATTTCTGTATGATTTAATGATACAGAACCCAATGACCATTGGGTTCGCTGGAACGCGACGAACCCAATGGCAACCCAATGGCATCGTTGGTTCCAGTCTAAATGACATCACAGGAGCCGTGTTTTCACAATACAGTTAATGACTGTAATTTCCTAACTGCTCTAGCAACTCAGTTCTCTTCCTGTTCAGCGTTCCTTCCAACCAGCTCGAGAAAGTTAGAGAAGCAGATTCATTGCAGAGAATGAAGAAGCCATATCTACAAGAACTGCTGATGCGCATCCCGTGTGGGACGCATGACCTTTGAACTTTCCTCAGTCCAGTCATATTTTCTTTGGAAAAAATAAAATAAAACCTATGGCGATTGGCCTGGGGGCTTGACTTTTGGTACACCCTGTATACGTTAGTCTCAAGATTTAAATCCCAGGCCACATCCTCCCATCTTTTCAACTCAACAGCCATTCAAGTTGCTGGTTTCCCAGCCTTGAAGGCTTCGGCCCCTCGTTTACACAAAAGTCTGTCTCTGGCCTAAGAACCCGAGTTGTCCACTTCAGGAGCTTCAACCCTGTCACTTAATTTTGACAGCAACGAACTCACTTTCCTGGGTTTGCACACATCGTTCTCAGAGATGCAATCTAAGACCGTGGGACCAATTTGTCACAATCTAGAAAATTCTTGGTGATAACCACCGTGCAAGCCAGCCTCGGCAGACTATACTCCTAATGGGAATGATAGCCTCTCTCCAGCATTCATTTACAAAAAAAAATTTATTGATGATCTTCCTCGATCTCTTTGCGTGTCTTTTGAGAGCCCAAAGATGCAGCTCATCACGGACAGAAGGTTTCTTGGGTCTTTCTTTTAGGCACCAGAACAGCTGAAAGCCGCCGGGCCGTTCTGAGATGATCTTTCTGCCGCCGCCTCGAAAGGAACAGTTTTGCTGGGCCCGTTCGAAGGGCTCAGAGCATGCTGGAATCCAATGGCGTACTTCTGAAGGTCGCTACTCAGCCAACTGCCCACATTCCCTTTCTCGCAGGAGCTTTGCCTGAAAAAACAGACGGCGCCTTTGGTGTGGAACGAGTTCTTGTTCTCGTCTTTGATGACCACGATCTCTCTCTCCTCCAGATCAAATCCGTCCGGGGCCTCGATGCCATTGGGTTCGTTGGAAAGCGACATGAAATCCTGGTCTTGGTCTCTGGCGTTCAGGCTGGAGACGTCGACAAAACAGACCAGTTTCCGCTCCTTGTCAGTCCGGACTTTGTCGTTGAACAGGCTGACTTTGCAGAGGCTGGCTCGGCAGTGGAGCCAGTCGATGTCCGGCGTCATCATGGTCACCGGGACCATGTACTCAGAGTCGGGGCACTCTTTATGTTGAACGGTGGTCATGATTCTGCGAGACTGAAAGACAGGTGCCAGCCTCTTACCATCCCATGCTCTTCTGCTGCCAAGGGACATGGGCCAGGACAGATAGCTGTCCGGCTGCTGTGACGTCATAAAGCACCTGAAAGACCTCCAAGCCCAGCCCTGTCTGAGCGATTCACAGGACTAAACCTCCCTTCTTGGATTCAGAGGCAGGGGATCCAGGCAGGAATATCAGCCCCCTCCCCGTTCCCCCAACCTTAACCCCTTTGCTCAGCCACTGGCATCCATTTCAGGAACAGAACTGCAAGGATGCAACACGTTGGCTCGGTCACCCAGGATGCTCGGCTAAAAAAAAAAAGCCAGAGGGCTGACTTTTTTAGGATGATGATTTACGATTTTTATATGCCACCCAACTCCCGGCCACTCTTCGGTTTCCCAATGATTTCAAACGTAAAAGCCTAGCAATATAAACAACAGGAAACCAAAAAGGGTAGAGGTGGCCATATAGCAAACTGGAGGGAAACAAAAGAAAACCATCTAAGATTTGCAGTCACTGGCTGTGTTCTGACAATACATTTAACCTGGGGATTGAATTAATCCATTTTCCCGGTTTGGACAATCTGCTGGAATCAATACTAAGTGAATCACTGAGCTCTTGATGCAGGAGAGAAGAGCCGAACAAAACAACCCCCCCCCACACAAAAAAAGATCAGCAACGTTGGCACCAGCCAAGGTGGGTGAGTTCTGTGAACGGAGCAGTTCGGTTTTTAATTGACTTGTCTCAGTGTGAGGTGTGTGCTGTGCGCAGGTGTCCATGGGGGGAATGGGGAGGAGGACGAAATGTGCCTAGCAATGTCCCCACCCGAACACTGGCTTTTTGTACTTGCGTCCTCACATCGCACATCATCCTGACATCAGACGCTACACAAACCCCGTGACTTACGCCCTTATGTCCAACATCAGGAGCAAGTACGAAAAGCCAGCATTTATGTCATGGTGTCACGGCACAGGTTTGTTTTTTTTATCTCCATAGTTTGTACGGTGCTATGATGTTGTGCAGACTCAGGAAAATCGCTTCCTCCAGTTTGCCTGTTGTGGGAATGCAGCCACTGTGTTTCCAACTACTCAGATGCACAGCTCTATTCCCTTGACTACTTCATTCACCGTGACTGCATTCGCAAGTTCTCGTCTGGGTGTTGAACCTTGGTCATGTCTTGGTTGGCTTGCACAAACCCAGCCTGCTGCGTTAGTGTCCCATTCCGTGCATTATGCCAATAACTTAATAAATGTGTTGCACAAACCCAACCTTGATTAATCTAGGATTGAAGGCAATGTACAAAGCTAGAAAATGGGCTAATTCAGTATCCATTGTTGCATGAGCATAGCTTTGCACAGCCTGGTTGTTCACACCTCACACTTCACCTTTGCTTGGGTTTGCCTTAACGTGTGCATGCCTCCAACCACATGGTCTGCAAACCATGGTCACTGATCCATACCGTTTTGTAAGCTCACGGCGCCAACCGCTCAGAAAAGGAGCTAACGCAACGCGCGTCGTGTGAACGCGGTCCTAGAACCTCGCATGGAACTCTTGCGGGCCACGTGACACCTCACCCCCCCCTTGATTCGAAGGAGAAAAGGAAAATTCGTTATGACCGTTGGGCTCGTGAGGCCACGCCCCCGGGCCTCCCTCGCGGACACGGAAGCGTCAGCAGGACGCGCGCGAGCACGCACGCGGACCCGCCCCTTTGTGACGTCTCCCGCGGCGGGGATTGGCGGAGAGCGCAGATGACGCGTTTGTCGCGTCAGAACAGCTGGGAGGGCGGCGCGGCGCGGGGCGGGGCTTGCCGGCTGGGGCCAATCAAAGGCCGGTGGCGGGAGCTGCGCCGCGGTTGTTGCGGGTATGGCGGGTCGCGCGGCGGGAGGGCGCTGAGGCTCAGTGTTGCGAGCTGAGCGAGTAAGCCTCCGTTTAGGGAAGCGCGGGGGTGGGGTTGTGCTGGCCAGCGAAAGGGGTCCTCTGCACACGCCCAGAGGTGTTTGTTCTGTTGCACTGCTTTGCTTCAGGCCTCAGGTTGAATAGTTACGGGCATGCGAGAGAACGCAGAACTCGGGTCTTCAGATGTTGACGTTCCGGAACCCCTAAGAACTGTCTGGCTTGGCGTGGCTGGTGCTTTATCTTAATTTTGATTTATTTTATTTTACTTTATTTTATTTTACTTTATTTCAATGTGTTTTATTTTTGTTATCCCGCCTTTTATATATTTTGGCTGCGAGCCTTGAGTTGACCAGAACGCCTTCCTCCTCCTCCTTTTCCCACAACAAGAACCCTGTGAGGTGGGTTGGGATGAGGGAGAGGGACTGCCCCAAGGTCACCCAGCCGGCTTTCATGCCTAGGGCAGGACTAGAACTCACCGTCTCCTGCTTTCTGGGCCGGCACCTTACCTACTACTTTTTTATTTATTTTAATTTTATGACCCACCTGTGACTGATGCACTCAGCACAACAAGCACAAATCCTGGCTTACAAGCTAGGCTGCCTGTGCTCTCCCAGCCCCCCGTGTTGCAAACATTTTGCAGGAACATATGCCATGAGCCCTGCTGTTGTCCCAAGTCATAGTCTGTGGGACTAAGCTTGATAATAAACCATAGTTAGTTGGGTTTGGGGAAGGTTCTAAGCCAATGGCCCCTGATGTGGCTTTGCATGTCTGTAAATCCAGTCAGGGTTTGTGAGTGTGGAAGATTCTCCCTATGCCAGTTTATTTGCTTTCTCTCCTAATTCTGCAGGAGTTCAAAGTAGTAACAGGAGCACTCCTGACTTCTGCTTCTCCCCAAAGGGAATTGTCCTTTGCTTCCTTGCTAAAACTTGGTTTCCTTGGTCCCAATCCAATACTAGAAGCCATTCCACATGCTGCATTGGGAATGTTGGGAGGGATAACTGCGTAGCATGTTTACTTCTGTGTTACACCCCATGTGCCCTTCAGCTGGAAAGGGGACAATAGCATTTGAGATTCCAAGCTGAAGTGAAAGGTGGACCTCCTCTTCCAACCTCTACCAAGAGGGCTGCAGCAAACAAACTTGCAGAGAGCTGTGAACATGCGCAGAGTGTCTTTTCTCCCCACAGTTGCATATTGAAGCAGCTTTGGAGTCATTTGCTTTTAGAGAAGGCAGTGTTGAACTTTCCAGATCATGTTTCTGGAACGCCACTGACTTGAGGGGAATTAGCTGAGAAGACTTTCAAATGGAACTCCAGCAAGGTGGCTTTCTGGAATTCTAATGAGGTTCTTCAGCTTCTTCCCAAGTGGGAAGGATGAGGAACTTTCTTGTTTTTGGAAATGCTGGGAAGACAAGGAGATATTATTTGGCAAAATCTGATGTGACCTTGGAGAGATTCCAGAAGGGAGAACCTTAAAAACTCTGCCAATTCCAGTTCATTCTTTCCTCTAGCAGGATTGTAGGGAGGGAATAATGGTTTGGGTATAATGAAGGCTAGATAGAGATGGGCTAATAAAGTCACACTTTAAAGTACTGACAGTGTTAACTAGCTGGGTAACGAAATGTTTGCAAGAAAACAACCAAGCTTAGAGAACCCCAAGAACTCCACAGTTCAACCCTGAGCCACATAGATTCTCTTCTATTGGTATCACATTTTAAAATCATTATTTTTAAAGCCCTTTATGGAGTGGCACCAGAATATAGCAGGCATCACCTTTGCCAGAACTGATTCAGCCTGGGTGGTGTAGTCCTCAGAAGATGGCCTGTTGCTAGGTCTGCTGTCTCTGTAAGGTATGTGGCCTTCTCAGTGGTGGCCCTGTTTTATGGGACACTCTCCCCTTGGAGGTATGAATGGCCCTAACCCTGCAGGCATTTTGTAAACAAGCTGAAGCAGTTCCACTCAAAGGTGTGTTCAGCCCTTTTCAATATTTTAAAGTGTTAATATTTTAAGTGTTATTAATAACACTTGAGAAAAAATATATTCATGGAATTGGGAGGGAGATGACATGACAATATATACACAAGTACAAGAGGACATGAGAGGAGAATAAGAAAATATAAGACAAATAAACCAGTTATTTTTAAAACTTATTTATTTTTTTAATGAAAAGTTGTGCAAGTTATAGCTTTCCTGAATATCATTAGTATATTACTAATAATTAGAAATATGTTAAGAAACTAAAACACTATTGAACTTAAGCAAACAATGAGTAATAAAGACCATCTTAACACAATATAAATCTCTGTAGAATTGTACACTGTAGTAAATTCATATTACAAGAAATCTATTCTGATTTCACTAGCTCATAAAATTGAACTATAGATTCTCTGCATATTAGTTTACTTTTATGGGCATCTGTGATATTTAAATTTTGGATTATTTTAATTGTTATTGTTTGTTTTGTTCTTGTACCTTGCCCAGAATTTGCTGGGGCTGGAATGGGTTATAAATATTGTAAAATAACTAAGGCACCTCTTTGCCTTGCTTTGTCACATACTCCCCCCCATATGTTTTATAATTTTCCTTTTGTGGAAATAATAGTTGTGAGACTCTGAAGATGAATTCAAGGGTTGGGCAGGAGGCTCATATCCTGCCCCCCCTCCCACATACACACACTTCCCCATGGCAAAGAAAGGCAGAATCTTCATCCCAGAAGGGAAGAAAACTGGAAAGATTAATCCCCCCCATGATTCTCATCACAATTACTGTCCCAGCATTGCTAACAGCTGCCTCAAAATAATTTTTTCCCTAACATGTTGCTAATGGCTGATGAGCCAGACGTGAGGGAAAAAGGAATGGGGACAGCAAACACATTTGTGGTTTAAAGTCAGGGTTTAATAGCTTTTATGTCCCTTCTGATTGGGAATAAATAGGTACAACTTCACAGCTAGGGTTGTCAAACCATGGAAACAAGAATTGCATTCCTCCCCAACGTCCCCATCCTGAAGAACAGAGTTATGTCTTCAGCCAGACTTTTTGAGTTGGATGGAAAATTATTTTAGCCATCATTTTTCCTCAGGGGACTTCAAACTGTTCTACATTTTGGTTGGATTGCTGGTTGCCTTAGGGCCCTGATAGGAGTGATTAAGAACTGAAATATTAAATAATAGAATTCCTTGGAGTTGTTGCTTATTAATCAAACAGTATAGTTTATGAAATCTTTATTTTAGTATACTCTGGCTGAGTTGCTTTTCATAACGGAATATAATAGGTTTCCAGAATTAAAAAGGCCCAAAGATCTTACATCTTGTTTTTTGTGTTAATCCTTCTAATAGAGATTTTATACTATAGGTTCCATCTTAGTGGGAGTGTATTCTGCTGATAAAGATGCTGAAGTTTAAATATGCAACACCACATCCTGTGGAACTGGGCACAGTGGAACCTATTGCCAGCCGTGCTTCTCGACTTAACCTGCTTCTTCAGGTAACTTTGCTTGTTAATTTATTTCCTATTTAATCTGCCCTGCAATTCTCAAATAATATTTTTTTTCCCATGATGCTGAAATGGGGTTGACTAGACTAGCTGATTTGAGATTTGTGTACCCAGACCTGGTGAGTAAGCTATGCTGTTTTGTTCCTCTTAATAATAACAGTAATAATAATGTGGTATACTTTGATAAGAGTCAGCTCAGTCTTGTGGTTAAGGTCTTGGATTAAAAAATGGGAGGTTGTGAGTTCTAGTCCAGCCTTAGGGGCAAAGCCAGCTGGGTGACTTTGGGACAGTTGTTCTCTCTCAGTCGAGGAAGAAAGGTCTGGCAATTCAGAAAATGTTGCAGGAAAACTGCTTTTTCCTGTAGACACCAGGATTTAGGATTGACTGGACCACAAACACAGCAACAACATCATGTGATACAAATCTGATTTGTATTTTGCCTTTCTGTCCAGAAAACTGAATGCTGATTAGGGCAATAAAAGAACACTATTTCATATGGCGCTTACATAACACAACGTTTAAAACGTTTGTGTCGAGAAAGCACATATCTGCAGCTTGTGGATATTATACAGATGTGCTAGAACTCTTTCACTTGTCCCATTTTTTTCATAGGATAATGGAATTGGAAGGTTTGTCTAATGATCCACTGGACCATCTCTGACAGACAACCTTCCAGCCTCTGTTTGAGCAGAACTCACCACTTCATGTGGCAGCCTGTCCCATTGACTGACAGGTTGTGCAGTCAGGAAGTTCTTCCTGACCTCCAGCCTGAACATACTTCCTTATTTTTCAACCCACTGGTTCTGACGTAGCCCCTCTGGGCAGTGAACAATAAGCCTGCTTTTAAAGAGACATATTTGGTTTCGAATTAGCCTATTATGAAAGAGCAAAATGTGGTTTAGCTGGTTTACTAGAAATTGTGCAGCAGGTAATGATACCCCTTATTCTTTATTTGATTCTCTTGCTTACAGGACAGTTGTTTTTAAATAGCTGCTCTAAAAACTGTGGTTCATTTGGGATAATGGTAGCAGTTAGAGGAGTTAAATCCGCTAGATGTTGCTCTTCGGTTTCCACCAGACCCATGGGAAGGGGGGTGGGAGTTGTAGTTCAGCAGCAGCAGCATACCAAGAGAGCATCAAAGGGACAGCGCATGCCCTGTGACATCATAGCACAAATTCTGCTCTTGCTAACTTGCATTTTGAGGTCTGATGCAAATATATACGTTTTAGATTTTGCATCATGATGCGGGTTTCATCACTTGTTCCCCTTGCTTCCCTCCCTGCCCCCCCCCCACCGGCAGATCCCAAACGGTTCTAAAAGTGAAAGAAAGGAGTGAAAGAATTTTATACACATCCAGTGACCTGGTGTACAGCCTGTTTCTAAAAATAGGACAGTTTACTAATTGTATATAAATATTACTCTTCTGTTCTTGTTTCACTAAGATTTGCCTTTGTTTTCAGGGGAAGTTATCATCTCTTGCACAACAGCAGATGTCTCCGTTCTCAAGAGAAGGCATTCTGGACTCCCTTATGGTGCTTTATGAGGAATGCAACAATCCTCTTCTAATGAAAATGAAGCACGTGGGCAATTTTATTAAAAAGCGTATGTCTTGTTGACTTCCTTTTAGAGCTTCAAAACACAAGGTCAAACTTTTCTATAAGAATCTTGATTGGACTTTGCTTTTCAACCCAGAAACATCAGCCTAGTAGCTATCTAATGTCTGGTTTGGCCTTGTACATATTCTGATTGGGGCTATATATTTTTAGTAGGACTGCTAGGGATGGGTCCAGTGACAGGGTGACATCACTGGGTGGAATGAAAATATTCAGTCTGTTTTCTTAAGGGGCAGGGTTTGGAGGAGAGACTAAAGACTTTCTATAGAAGTTATACTTATTACGCACCTTTTTGTGGCAATATAAGGTTGAAAATTATTGTACCAAACTTTGGTGGTATGACTTGATGGGTGCAAAATAAGGATTTGGGGGGCAGGCTATAGCCTACAAAATAATGCTAGAACTTACACGTGTGTGTTTGTATTTCTCCATGAGTTTCAATATATATATAGTTCTCCATAAGTTTCAATAAAGAATGACCATATTTCTTACAGACATATAGTACATCTATGTCTGTAAGCAGCTTGGATTAGGGAAGTCCTGGATAAAAAATGTATTATTTTGGGGGTGGGGGAGAAAGAGATTGGATGAGAGGAAGATATAGGTATGTTTGCTATTACTGTATTTTCTTTCATCTACTGGGAAAAAACAAATACTGGACAGTTATAAGTGCAGACATTTAAGAAACAGCTATTTTTAAAAAGCTCTTTAAAAGGCCTTAGTATGTATACTTATGAGAGTCAGTTTGGGATAGTGGTTAAGGCACCAGATTAGAAACCAGGAGACTTTGAGTTCCAGTCCTGCCTTAGGCATGAACCCAGCTGGGTGACTTTGGACCAGTCCTTTTCTCTCAGCCCCAGAAAGGAGGAGGCAAGGGCAAACTACTGAATATGTTGCCAAAAATTCTGCATGGACTTGTCTGTATAGTCACCAGGAGTTAAAATTGACTCAAAGGTGTGTGCATACACATACATACCCAAAGTAAATTTGTAGATGAGCTTCTTTACAGGATAGGATGCTTGGAGTCTCAATTATGTGTATGTTCTGGTCAGTGAGGTTTTCTTCAAATAGTTGTGTATAAGAAAGCAGTTCTGGAGTTATGGTAGAGATATGGAGTATTTCTTGAAGAGAATCTAAAGTTAATCACTCTTGTAAGAATGTTTTTACGTTCTTTATGAATTGTTGATGAAACCCAGATGTATTGTACACAGAGACCTGTATGTGGTACATTGTGGGGCAGCTAAAACTGTTTATCTACTTGCCCTTTCACCCTCCCCAATCTGGTGCCTCTAGTTCTCTTGGGCTGTAATTCCCAAAAATTTGCAGCCAAGACCTTGTAGGCTCAGAATTCTGCTAATTTTAGACCTAACATATTTGGAGAGCACCAGGTTGGGGAAGACTGGCTTAGGGAACTGAAAATCTTTTGTACGCCACAGCTGATTGTATTCATGTCTGATAGGCTACAATGGGCTGTACAGGACAGCCTTTGAAGATGGTTCAGAAATTTCAGTGCATCCAAAATAGAATTCCTAGATTCCTAACTGGGACTGATTGATACAGTCATCATGTTATGCTGGTGCTTTGGCATATGTGCAGTTTCCATTTTGTCTCTAGGCTCAGTTCAGAGAGTTGAAGGCCATATTTGACCACATATTTGTCAAGATCATCCACATCAACCATGTGAACATGTAGGTCATCTTTGGAGAACCTCTGCTGCATCCCCTGCCATTCGTAGTTAGGTGACTGCTAGCTACAAGGGTCATGTTACCATAGTCAGTGCCAATTTTTACTGTGTATTTGTATAATGTTTAATTTCTGTACTATGTTGTGATGCCAGCTTTTAAGCAATGGTGTAATATGCTTTGAAATTTTCATTGCTGTATGGTTTAAACTGTATTACAAAAGTAAGGTAAAATTTGAGAATGTAGGGAGAAAGCGAGATGGAAGAAGACAAGGCTGCAGGTAAGAGTGAGGATCTGGGGCTGAATGCAGAAAGGTTCTTGTTCCAAACCATGAATGAAACCAACATCAGATTTGTACACAGAGGATATGAAAGCGGTATTATTGGTGAAACAGACAGGGTTGATTAGGTAAACGTCAGCAAAGGCAACTAATGCAGTGGTTTGCTCATTTTTCCTCCTTATCCTGCCTTCCTGATCTTGTGCAGATTCAGATTCGATAGCAGAGTTCCGGGAACTTCAGCCCAGCTTGAAAGATTTTGAAGTCCGGAGTCTGGTAGGATGTGGTCATTTTGCGGAAGTCCAGGTTGTGAAAGAAAAGGCAACCAGTGACATTTATGCTATGAAGGTGATGAGCAAGGAGACTCTGTTGGCAAAAGATCAGGTACGCCCCTGTTCTACTGAGAATTCTCTAATGGCACATAAGTTTAATAGCAGTTGTAGGAAACTTGCAAATGCAGTCCTTGGTATCTCCCTATAGACTTGTCAGAAATGTAGACAGGCTTGATATAAATAGTTATATTCTGTCCTTCTAAAGCAGTGTTTCTCAACCTCAGCAACTTTAAGATGTGTACACCAAACTACTCACACAT